AGGAACTATCAGCACCAGGGACACTTCTGTAAACAGGCGGCTGGTAGTGTCGTCATTACCTGGGACATGGCACCCAAGGCACTTTTGGCTGGGCGACTCCGCTGCTCTGGCTCTGGGGTTTCCAGGCGTTTCCAGGAGGGGCCATTTCCGAGGTTGAGGCTGACCGCTCTCAGTGGCAGCCTCCTTTGGAACTGTCTGCACAGGGAGCCCAGGGGACCGGTCTCCAGATGGCCCCCAGAAGACCGGGTCACCTCCTTGTCTAGCTGTTCCTCCTTTAGGAGTGACCGTCTGCGCACGGAGGCCGTCATGACCTGCCACTGAGACGCCATGTGCTTGGTCCAGTCTCCTCTGACGGCTGGATCCTGGGGAGATCAAGAGGTCAACAAAGTATTCCCTGGCGCTATTTCCAGGGCCCTGGGAACTAGGGAACAGATGAAGTGGAACCTCTTGGGGTAGGCCTGTTGGGCAATTGTGGATGCCAGAAAGATGATCGTCGGGGCGTCATGGTCAGCAGCTGCCTCAGTTGCAAGGCAGCAAATTGTCTTCCATCCCATACTCCTTCTCGGAGGCTCATCGGAGAGGCACAGAGGCCACCGAGCCTCGGCGCTTATACAAGGCACCATCAGCAAGCGGCTCTTTCACAAATTCGAGCTCCTCTCCAGAGCTCTGCCCACCCACCCTCGGATCCGATGGGGCGCTTGCAATCCCCAGACACCCTCTTTGGGTTGCAGGTCCTGTCCAGAGCCCTCTAGCCCGCTTCCCGGTCAGAGATGCCCGTGAGAACCCCTCACCAAGCCCCACGGTGTCCCTGCGCGCTCACCTCCCTGTTTGGTACCCGGGACCCGAAGATAGATACCCGCTCCTTGCCCACCGTAGCCGATTTCAAACTCCACGAGGCCCCGCCCCGGCCCAGCGCACGCAGCCCATTCGCCCTATCAGTCCTCCGCCTCTGCCGCTCCTGGATTTCGATTGGTCTCTTTCTCTAGCGACAACAAATCGTGCTTTGGGATTGGTCAGACCCACTCCCAAACGTCGTTCGGGACCCTCGCCTCTTACAGCCTGAGGTCCAGCAGGGAGCCCGGATCGCCACCGGCCGCTGTCACCGCCCAGCTCCTCCCCTCCCCACATCTTGGCTGCTTGGTTTCCAGCGGTCTCAGCTCGTCCTTCTCATGCTCAGGCTCTCCCTAGAGACTGCCAGTGAAGGTGCTTTGCGGGATTCTGCGGGGGCCACGCAGGGCACCCTTTCCAGACCTTCACCTAACTTGTGTCTCGCGTCCATTAGTTTTGTCAGAACTTTGGCTGGGGCTGCCAAGCTCTGGGTTCCCTGTGAAGTTTTGTTTTAAATTCCCCGCCTAATCCTCTTCCTTCCCGAGAGATGACCCTGCCCCCGTCTGTTCCTCAAACTCACCGCCAGGCTGGCGCCCGAGGAAGTCTGTCTCAGAGGAGTGGACAGACTGTAGACCACACTTCCCACCCAGTTCCTCTGCTGGTCTTGCCCCAGCCATCTTCCCATCCTCCTTTAGTCTCCTAGCAAGAGAACAAAGCAAAGCAAACAACGAAAACAAGACGACGACAACAACAAAACAGCCTGGATCCTTTCCTATGTTTAAAAGGATTTCACTTTTAATTATGTGTCTCTGTGTAGATTTGTCCGAGGGGGTGGGGCAGAAAAGGAAGTCAGATCCTCTGGAGCTGGAGTTAGTGGAGGTTGTGAGGCACCCATGTGGGTGCTTAAAAAGAACAAACAAACACACCACCAACAAAAAACAGGACCTTCATGTAACTCCGGGTGGCCTGTACCTGGCCACACTCCTGGCTCAGCCTCCCCAACATTGAAATCAATGGGGCCTTCTTAACAGATTCTCAAGGAGGCATCACTCCCTCCTCTTCACTTGCCTAAGCCTGGGGGGTAGGACTCCTAGAAACTCTTCAGGCCTCTTCCTGGTGTGAGGATTGTCTGACCCTCTCCTTAAACCTCCGTGTTCACCTCCCAAGCCCCCTATGTCTCCTCCTGTGTCTCCGTAAACCCATTTTCCCCACAATGCCACACAACTCCATAAAGTAGCTGGGGTATAGGGAGCTTGGCCACACATCTCACTCAGAACGAATGTGCAGTGGAGTGAAGGATCCAACTCCCTCTCTGCAGGAGCAGGGCCTATGTGACCAGGCGGACCCTCACTGTTGCTCCTCAGCCCTCTCACCTTTCCCCAGTCTGCATCTCTCCCCTGACTCTTGAAGCCAGCACTCTCCAGGGCTTTCACCTCCTGCTGGCTACTTAAAGCCAAGGGACCCAAGGGGAAGACACTCTGGTTCCCCCTTCCCCCAAGGTCTTCCTAATCTTACCAGTGGGAAATTATGATTTATTAAACTCTGCTAAAAATAAGCTGGAAAGGTCCATATCTTTCTTATTTCCATAGGTCTCAAGTTCAGTGTGTGTGAAGATGAGTATTTCCAGATCAAATCTCCAATAATCAGTCAGAGAACTACATGTTATCTAAGCCTGAGACCCAGGGAATGAGCTGGCCGGGCAGAACATATGTTTGTATTTATGTGTTTGTAGGCACTTGTCTTTGACTGTGTGTTCGTGATTTTTGTTTTGTTGCACAAGGCCACTCGTTGAAAGAAACCTGACACAGACACATGTGCAACCCTAAATAAATCTCCATAGAAGGCCTTGTGACTGAGTGATTTGCTCTGAGAGGCTTTATCGTGTTCAGTGACAGTGGGTATAGGCTGGGGTTTGCAAACTGCTGCTCTCATTTGCTTGTTGACTTTGCCCCTAGCCTCTTCTCCATGGCAGTGTTTACCAGGAATCACAAATGCTTGTTTCTCAACCTGCTTGCGTTAGGCCACTTGTGTTTGTGATCATAATCAGGAAATACGTGCAATGACTCAGACAGAGGAAGAGAGTGGTTTCTATGAAGACAGAATTCAAAGCGAGGGGATGACTCAATGAAGACGAAACACTGGGAAATGAATTTCTCAATGTCATCTCCTCAGCTCTTACTGCGGTGCCTGGCATGTCAGGGCATCTATAATAATAGCTTATATTTTCTGAGCCCTTCCCATGTGTCAGACATTCAGCTAAGTGCACCGGCATTCTTCCTCATCAGTTCTCATGCAGCTCTAGAAACTCAGATCTATTTTTATTCTCATTTCTGATGACGAAACTGGAGATTCAGACAGGCGAGATTCTGGGTCTCTGACTCTGAGCCCCATGTCCCTTTCTTTGGGTCACACACCCTTGTTAAGCCGTTGGAGTGTGTGCGTGCATGCATGCGTGGAAAGCATTCTCAATGCTCACAGCTCTCTACCCTTTTGCCACTTGGAGACGGAACTAGCCGACCAGGTTAATGAAGGGAGGTCTCCATGGCAACGAAAGAAGGCAGAAGAAGTATCTTCTGAATGGGAAGCTGCCCCTTCAGCCTGACATAGAGAGTGGCCGGGGCAGGGCCCCACACAGGCACGGCGCTTTGATGAGGGGCAGACCCAGGGTCTCCTGCTCCACTGGAGGAAGGCAATAAAGCAAGAAGTACAGTGACATTCAGCTCTCCATTTTCCTCTTCAGAGGGGGAAGGGAGGGAGAGGAGGGGTCCTCCAGCAGCCCCTCTCCCCCCAGCTTCCTCTTCAGTCACAAAGCTTTTACCAGTTCTCTCCACCCCCAGAATTATCACACCTCACAGGAAAACTGACTTCCAAGAGTTACTATGTACAGAATGCCATGGTCACAAAGAGCCAGGGACCATGGGAAGTGGAAGGGGCACCAGGACCTTACCTGGGTTGAAGGTTGGATTCCTCAGATATGTGGCATTCTAGCTGAGGCACTGGGTGTGGGGTGATGTCAGGAACATTGTCCATTCTAGGACTCACTGGAGTAAGGCTGAGAGCAGAGAGAAGGCCTAGGGTGGGAGCCAGGAGCAGAGACTCAGAGTTTAGGGCAGGAGCTTAGACTGACTCTAAACGAGAGTGGGAAGTCAGCTGGATTTGGAGAGAGGAGCAGATGACTGGAATCATATTCCAAAGAGGTTTTGGAAAGATGGGAGGCAGTGGCCTAAACAGGCAATGTACTACCACACCGGTGGCGGTGAAGCCTGACCTCTGCAATCTCTTTGCCCCCTTCCTTTGCTGTGTGTGTTTTTGACTCTCTACAAAGTAAGATTCGGAAACAGTAGCAAAGAGTGAAGCATTGTGAGATGGAGCATGAAGGTCCTTTTTCTCCCATTGCTCATCCAAACAGGAAAGAGAAATTGTGTTAGAACAAACCATTATAAAGTAGTGGACAAGACTACCCTCCAGGTCAGGGGAGGGTACTGCAGGCAGCTCAGAGTCAGTGGTGGGCTCTGGAGTGTGTTCTTTCTCCCTTACTATGTGGTCATGGCAGACACTTTGATTTCCCTGCCTGCCCATTCTACTTCCTCAGCAACATGCCCCGTTAGCTGCCGTGTGGCTGGAGAAAGATGCAAGAGGAAAAGGTCTGTACACCTCTCTAAGACTGGCCCCAAACAGGGGAGCTGGCACTCAGGGAGGACAGTCTAGAATCCCAGGTTGCAGCCTCTGCTTCTGACCAGTTGGCCTCGGTTTGTGGTTCTTTAAGGCAAGGACTTCTAATGGAAATCTAGACTTTTGAGGGTGCTGGATATCCCCAGAACCCTGGCCTTCCTGGAAAAGGGAGTTGAGGAAGGATGGATTGGAGGCACTCAAGGCCATGAGGCCATTAACGTTGATGTAGGAAGTTCTGATTGGCTTTTAGTCAGCTACAATGTCTCCCTGTGGCAAGGTCAGTGTTTTCTCTCGGGGTCTACAAATCAGTGTAGGACTGGTTTTCTTGTGCTCAGAATCCTTCATCGGCCTTAAGCTTTGGGAGAGAAGCACGAGAATTTGAGCTGGCCACAAGGTGGCGCAAAACGCCAAGTCGACACATTTCATTTTCTCTTTTAGTCCCCAAGGGCTGAGGGGCGCCTCTCAGAACCCAAGGGCTGAGACTCTCCATAGGGCTGGGGAAAGCCCTGTCCCCTAGCCAGACCTTAGAGAGGAGGTAGAAGCTCAATGCTAGGAGCTCCTCAGTTTGCCCCGGAATGTCCCAACCTCTTTTAGTTACCCCGAAACCAGAAACAACGCTGCTGTCTGTCCTCTGTCCACTCCTCCTAGATCCCAGGAGGAGAGGAGCAGAGAAAAACGGACAAGGTCATCACCGCCGGCACAAGAAGCACAAGAAGGTGGCTTTGGGCGTCCTTTCTTTCCCCAGGCCTCTCCTGCTGTCTGCTTTCTCCCCTCTCTCCTCACAGAAACATCCGAGGACCTCTTTTGTTGAAGTGGCACAAAAACAAAGCCTGGTGTCGTCACTGTGGGTGCCAGACAAGGAATTTTCGTCAACTGAGGAATCCTGAGTAGGGTGGAAGTTGAAGTCTGTAGCGACTAGGCTCCACACCTTCCTCCCATCTTCCCTCCCTGCCCGGAAATCCTCCAGGTGTCAGCTGCTGTCCTCCGCTGAGGTGGGATTATCTAGGCTCACGCAGGCCTTTTCCTGAGTGTCAGCTGCACCTGCTTTGCGAGGGATTATCTAGGCCCTCACAAGCCTCTCTCCTACCTGCAGCATGGATGTCTCTCTGCTCCTCAACGTGGAGGGAGTCAAGAAGACCATACTGCATGGAGGAGTGGGGGAGCTCCCCAACTTCATCACTGGCTCCCGAGTGAGTATCTACCCCCTCACAGGGCCTCCACCATCCCTTTCTGTGTTTCAGCTGTTCCCAGGGCATTGCAAATAGCTTTTGGCTCTGCCCTAATCCAGCCAGGCAGACCTTTGCTGGAATTGCCTGTCCTAGCCCCCCCAGGCTGCTCTGCTTTGCAGTTTATAAACAGAATTTTTTGGTCATTTTCAGGGTAACTTTAGTGTGGGCTAAGAGGAAGGGTTTGTGGGAATGTTCCAGAGATACAAATGTCAAGTGAGTAGGAAGGAACCTCAGGAGTTGTGGTGTTTGTCCCCCTTGGGTTTGATGGATTTCCCAGGGTGGATGAACACATCCCTGGACATTTGAGCTTATTGGGGAAGGAACTTCTGACCCTTGGCTGTGAGAAATGAGCATGGGGTTCGATGGAAAGGATTGCATGGGGATAGTCTGAGGCACCTTATCTTAACAGGTGTGGGCGAGCTGACAACAAGGACAGCCCTGGAGCCTGTGGCAGTCAGGAGGTGCCTGCTGGAATTTGGGAGGTGTGTCTGCTTACAGGCCTTCTGTTCTGTCAGGTGACCTTTCATTTCCGAACTATGAAGTGCGATGAGGAGCGCATAGTGATTGACGACAGCAGGCAGGTGGGCCAGCCCATGAGCATCGTCATTGGCAACATGTTCAAGCTGGAGGTGTGGGAGACCCTACTGATGTCCATGCGGCTCGGAGAGGTGGCTGAGTTCTGGTGTGACACCATCGTAAGTAGGCTGTGTGGCTCTTTCTCCATTCGGCTTCCTCACAGTCTTCCTAGAGATCTCATGGCTCAGGAAAGTTAGGGTAAAACAAGTCTCTGCAGGTGAAGCCTCAGTCCGCATTCTCTGCCATTACAAACATGGCACCCAGCCCTTCAGATAAAACAGGCCTCAAAGTGACGTGGAGGGGGAGTGTATGGTTGGCTTGGGGTTCTGGGAGCATGAGGCCTTGCATGGTGGGAGAGGGCCCCTCTTCCTTTTTTGCTCAACATTGTAGATCCTGGAGACTTGTGCCATGGGCATTTTCTGCCCTCCCCATACTCCCCATACTACCAACTCGTTGACACAGTTCATATTTACAGCAATCATAAACCATCTTTACAACTTCTTGTTTTGTGATTTGGAGAGACAAGTGTTTCTTAGAGAAACTTTCAAACATGCAAAAGTCAAGAAAAAAAAAAGTTGTTCCTGCTGCCTAGGCCTGCCACTATCAAATCCATGACCCTATCTTTTATCCTCTTCCTTCCAGGGTACTCCGCTTTCTTATCCCGCATGGTGTGGGCAAATTCCAGACATCGTGCCAACTCCTATGGGAATGCTGGAATTTGTGACTTTGAAATTATAGGATATTTAAAAAATCCAACCACAGTATCATAATTAAATCTTCAGAAAACCCAAACAATCTCTTCATGCTTTCTAATTGCCTGGCACAGTTAGGATTTTCTGACCATCCCATTTGCTGCCTTTTAAAAGGTTTTTGTCTTCAAGTATGTGTACATGTTGTATCTATGTGCATCATTCATGTAAGTGCATGTGCTCAAAGAGAACAGAAGAGGGTGTTGGGGCCCCTGGAGCTGGAGTTGCAGATGGTTTTGATATGTTGTGCAGGCAGTTCAGCTGGTCTGTTGCTAGGGTCCTGAAAAAGTCCTGTGTCAGTACTTGCATCCTATGACATCATCTGGACCAGGTACTTATGGCCAGTCTGTCTCTCCCTTCCTCTCTCCCTCTCTCTTGCTCCTCTTTTGCTCTCTCCTCCTTTTCTGTCTGGGCTCCCCCTCCCCCTCCCCTCTTTCCTCTCTCTCTCCACCCAGTAAATATCTTTCATACCAGATCTGTCCTATGCATGGCATATTTTTAAATATGTCCCAATTTTTGGTGTTGCGACTCAGATATAGGTCCTTCCAGCTGCCATGCGGGACTGGCCAGCTACGAGGTCATACTGCCTGGGGTGCTAGAATCCCATTTTATTTGGATCTGCCTGCTATGACAGATTTGGTCTCAACTCCTCTGGCACCTTGGCTGAGCACATCGCCCATCACTGCTGCTACCCTTGGACTGCCGGTTTCTGCCTCAGTGTGCCAAGCCGCCGCAGCCACCGTGTACCTGTCCCTCTGCCTGTGGTCGCTCTCTCGTTCACTTTTTTTTTTTTTTTTAATAAATGAGTGGCATTTCCGTGTTCAGTTAGGATCCAAACAATGTCAGTGTGTTAGGCTTCGGCAGTGTGGCGCTGTGTCTCCTCTCTCCCTGGGCTTTCCTGCCTCTTCTGGGTTGTGGAGGGAACTGGGTTGTGGAGGGTTGTGGTCTGGTAGAGATGCATATTTGGATTCTGCTGGTTGCTTCCAAAGGTAATTGTCTGACATCTTCCTTTATTTCTTGTAGTTTTGAAAAAAAAATGAGTTTTAGCCTAAAGGGCTTGAAAAGATTCTAATTGTTTCTTCCTCCTCTCCTTCTCACCCCTTTATTTTTGTGCAGAGTCTCTTTTGTCCAGGCTGGCCTCAAACTCCCTGTGTAGATGAGGATGGCCTTGAAGTTCTGATCCTCCTGCCTCTACCACCCAGATTCTGCTTTATGTAGTACTAAGGATCAAACCCGGGGATTAGTGCTCGCCAGACAAGCACTCTACTAACCGAGTTCCACCCCAGCCTTTGCTTAAAGTCACAGATATCTCTGTGAACTTCTCACCCAGGGCCCCACTGTGCCTGCCTATCTCATGCATGATTAAGACTGATGGGTGAGTTTAGGTGTTGACAAGATGAGCAGTCCATCACAAAGCTCCCCCTGGATTTTCACAGTGAATGGTGGATAGATACTCTTTATTTCATGGGGAGCTAATGACCTTTTTGAAAGAGCAGTTTGGAGGAGAGATAGATTGCATTTAAGATGTATTCTATTAGTGTGGAGTGACCCGGAGAGATTCTCTCTCCTCTTGCCACCCTATCTTCTCATCTGTAAATGAACAAATGGCATGTTGAGGCCTATTTTGGGAGTCTCAGGATATGGTATAAATGAGCAGAAGTCATAGTATGTATAAGGTGATTAAAAGGTAGAAGCTGTTATTTTGAGCTAGAAGAGTATTGAAGATTCCTTCCTTTTACTGAGGAGCCTTACTCGGAATAAGATTCTGAGAGAGAAGTAACTTGCTTCAGGTTGAACAAGTTGAGGGGCAGGATCAAGCGGGATCCTTTGCCTTCTTGTTGGTGCCTGCATTTCTAATAGAACCAGACTACAGAGCTGCCCTCTACCAGCAGGGGATGCCATGCCTCACGGTACTCCTGTGTGTTCCCCAGGACACAGGAGCTCAGTATCTTTTCTTTGCAACAGGCCCAGTGTTACCTTTTTTTTATCTTAATGTTCTTTAACTTAAACAATGTGTCCCTGCCAGTTCAGGACTTCATTCAGTTGGCTTATTCTGTGATATGTTAACTACAACCATCCCTCTTGCCTTTGCTCTCAGTAAGGCACTCCTGACCTTGTGATACCTCTGTATACCTACTTCAGGCTTTTTGTTCTACAAGGATTTGTCACCAGCAAAAGCTTCCTACCTCCTCGGAGTGCATATTTGCTAATGTGGTAGGCTGCATGAACAGAGGTCAGTCAATACGATCTTGATTAGTTGATTGATCTGTTGTTTGCAAAGCCTCAAGCTGCTGCTCCCTCCAGGAGCTGTCTTGTGACTCTGTGGTCTTTTGGCCACTTCAGCAGTCAAAGATGTGCATCTCATAGTTGGTAATTTTTAGAACATAATGACTGTTGGTTTTCCAAGTGCTCATGGCTTTTATGAATGTGCATGTGGATCACTTGTCTACCTATACAGCCATACTTCATCCAGCAATATCTCCATCTGTCTACTTATCTATCCAGGCATCAGTTTATTTATCCTCTCATCAACCAATGTTCAGTCAAAATCCAGTCTTTGATCACTAAACCTCCCATACTCCCATATATTTATCCATCTACTCACTCACCCATCCATCCATCCATCCATCCATCCATCCATCCATCCATCCATCCATCCATCCATTGTTGAATTAAGGTTTTTTTCTATGCCCCCTCTAACTCCCAAATAATGAGATGGATACCTGTTACATTTATTAACAAGCTTCAAAGCATTATAGCTGGGCAGATTCTCATCTAGTCTAACTCAACTATGCTAGACTGGCTACTTCCCAGCCATGTGCCCTGTTACCTGTCCTTTAGTCACTCTGAACACTCCTGCTCCATATTTGTCTTTACAGTAACTCCACATGACCCGATGACCTTCTCTCTTATCTCCCCACCAGCCTGAGACCCCAAGACTAGAAAGTCCTGCTTACTGTCTCCTCTGTCCAGTCATTGGCTCTTAAGCTTCTTTATTAACCAATCAGAGATAATTGGAGAACATTCTTTACACAATATTGAAACAGGAAATTCTTTGACAATCATGACAATGCCCATGTCCGCACTGCAACCTGATCTTGGGGCACAGAAATCAGCATCTGAACACACAGTGAACCCCAACAATCCATCCATCCATCCATCCATCCACTGATCAGTTTTTCTTCCCAGGTCTCAATTCAATCAATGTTCATTTACAATTAAGATTCTTTGTTTTTTTTTTTTCTTGTCTGTGTGTCTGTGCATTTGTAGGGGTCAGAGGTCATGACCAAACTTGGATGGCCATCCTCACCATCCACTTTGAGATGATCTCTTGTTGCTCACTGCTGAGTACACCAGGCTAACAGGCTTGTGAGCTTCCAGGGATTCTTCTGCTTCTGCTTTCCATCTGCCACCAGGGCTCTGAGCTTGGGTCCTCACACCTGTGCAGCAAGCACTTTCCCCACCTTCCACAGTTTCTTTAGCACCAATAATCCAGTTTTTTTAACCACTGCCTTTATACTGTATATTATTTCCTCTGATTTCTTCCTCCTCCCCCCCTTTCTTTCTTATATTATCAAGCCTTTACTAGGCACATGATTTGGCCTGTTCTCTGTGTTAGGAATGGTGCAGGTGGTCTCCAACCCTGGAGGAACTGAATTCTGGAGGAGTAGACCCTTATCCCTTTAGAGTGCAAGGCAACCAGGACATGGCATAGAGAACAAGGTCAGAGTGCTGTGGGGTCACAAAAGGGGGAAAGCTAACTGCTTTAGAGTCTTTGGGGAACTTCTCTAGGAGGGTGACACTGGCTTTGGTTTTGAAAAATAAGTAGGAGATCACACGATGTGCTGACTAGTTTTATGTCAACTTGACACAAGCGAGAGTTATTTTGGAAGAGGGAATCTCAACTAAGAAAATGCTCCCACTAGATTGGCTTGTAAGGGCGTTTTTGTGATAGATGATTGTTTTGGGGGAACCTAGGCCACTGTGGATGGTCCTGCCCCTGGGCTGGCAGTAGCAGGATGTTGGGCAATTGGGCTCTGGACTCTAGTACAGCTCTGCACTCACCTGTTAACACTCTGTGTTTAGACAGTGGCAACAAATTTGAAAAACCAGACCCTCAAACTCAAAACACTGTGAAGGACGGAGGGAGGATCAAGCTGGGAGTCAGTGAATGTGCTCTGTGATACCGCAGGTGGCATCTTCCAGTGCAGACAGGGCTTTGGCCTCAGAGCAAAGAGGAAACCATGGTGCTGGGCTCCCTGATTGGCTGAGTCCTCAGAAGCCTAGAGCCCAAGGGTGACAATGCCAGTCCCTATAGCCTGGATCCCTCTCTTTCTCAAAGTTGCTGCTAGGAAACTGAAGGCCTGCCTTGTCCCCAACATTGCCTCCTTTCTCTGGATTCTCTCCTGCTCCTGATGTCATTCTACAAGCCTGGGCATGAGATGGGGCCTGCCAGGTTGACAGGTGTCTAGCAGGGTACAGCCTTGGTCTGAGGTCCTGCTTTAATGGCCTCAGTGGGTTCCTCCTAGAAGCAAGTTGGTAGGAGGTGGGTGCTCCCTCCCTTAGCCTCACCCTAATCCTCCAGTCACCTGCCATCTGGCCTTGCCTCTCAGAAGTCAGCCCAGAGCATCTGGGCTAATCCAGGCCAGTGGGGATGGGAAAGGTGACCTTCAACCTTCAGGTTCTGTCCTCTCCACCAGTACCAGAGGGACTGAAATTACTTTGAAGGGGTCTGTGCTGGGCAACTTCACCTCTGTGGAGATTTGCTCTGAGGCTCAACTGGAAAGCTGAGGCCCAGCATGGAGCAGGCCTTGCTGAACCCCAAGGTCCAACTCTGTACTGGATGGAGTTGAATCAGACCAGCTATTCCTTTGCATTGTCATATTTGATGGCTCACTCAGATCTGGGACCCCGCTCCCTTCACTGCTGCATGCTGGGAGCCTTGGCTGGTGGGGCTCAAGGGTTCCCTGCGGGAAGAAATGTGTTGTACTGACCACAAGGCTATAGAGGCAATCTGTGGCTAAAGTCACAGCTTGAGGCAGGTTTGGATGCTGCCGTGCTGATCCACGCCTAGCTGTGTAGTCTTGAGCAAGTTGCTTAACCTCTCTGGGCTCCTGTTTTATCATCTGTAGCACAGGGATAGTCACAGTGGCTATTTTGATGGGTGGTCGTAAGGACTAGAGGTGCTGACCAGTATAAAGCAGTTGTTGGTACACCAAGAAATGGAGTTATTCTGGGGGTGTCCTGGGAGAGCTGGACTCTGTTGAGGGGTGCAGCATGGGCCGGGTGTGACCTGACCTGGCAGGATCTGAACAGACAGCTGAGACTACCCTCCATTTCTCCTGCAGCACACAGGGGTCTACCCTATGTTGTCCCGCAGCCTGCGGCAGTTGGCTGAGGGCAAGGATCCCACAAACTGGCATGTGCACACGTGTGGGCTGGCCAACATGTTTGCATACCATACTCTGGGCTATGAGGACCTGGATGAGCTGCAGAAGGAGCCACAGCCTCTCATCTTCCTGATCGAGCTGCTGCAGGTGGGAGCCGGGTGTGGGAAGCTGGCCCAGGTCAGGACAGGCTGCAGCCCTCCCATCCATGGCCATTTCACACGACTGTATAAAACAAGAGGTTGGTCAGGGACCCCAGCAGAACTGAAAGCTGCAAACACCCTCCCCCGACAAAAGAAAAGCTCATTTAGAACCAATGTTTGAAAACCTAGATTTAATCTTATTTTTGAAGCATTTTTTATTGAATTGGTCATCTGCTTCCATTTCTGCAAGATTTAAAGCTACAGCTTCTTCCATGGTTCCTGTGATTTGTGGGTTTGGGCTTGAGTCTGGCACAATGAAAGACCCTGCATGGAGCTGGAAGAACTAGGCTTAAGGCCAGGTCAGAACTTATGACTAAGGTTGAGGGGTAACCTGAGGGCTGTATGGGAGAGTAAGCTAAAAAAGAACAGCCGTGTCTGTGCGCTGAGCAAGAACATCCCTTCCAAGATGCTCTTTGTAGAACTACATGTTTGTGTTATTATGATGACAAATTCCCACCAGATGGCAATAAAAGCGTCTTGTGCTAACACAGTGAATGCTCATGACAATTTTCCAACTATTGAAAGTAACTCTCCTAAAGAAAGCAGCCTTTTCACAATTTACCCAAAGGTGCTGACTTGCTTAGGGCAGGGCTGGGCCTCGTTGCTTCCTTCCTCTGTTCTCAAGGTCTTGCCCAGCCTGACACTGGTGTGGAGCCTCACTGCGGGACATGGCAAACCAATTCAGAAGGATGTTGGGGCTGTCTTGACTGGTCCTTGACTGGCTAACATGTAGCTTCTGGGCTAGGTGGAGGCCCCGAATGAGTACCAGAGGGAGACGTGGAACCTGAATAATGAAGAAAAGATGCAGGCTGTGCCTCTCCTTCATGGGGAAGGCAACAGGCTCTACAAGCTGGGCCGCTATGATCAGGCTGCCACCAAGTACCAGGAGGCCATCGTGTGCCTGAGGAACCTTCAGACCAAGGTGTGGGGTTACCTCCGGCTGGGCGGGCTGAGATGAGCCTTATGGAGCTGGTGGCTGAGCTTCTGTTCCACAGGAGAAGCCCTGGGAGGTTGAGTGGCTGAAGCTGGAGAAGATGATCAACACGCTGATCCTCAACTACTGCCAGTGTCTGCTGAAGAAGGAGGAGTACTATGAGGTCCTGGAGCACACTAGTGACATTCTACGACACCACCCAGGTGCAGCCCTGGCAGGGGTGGGGAGATGGGGTTGAGGGAGTAGGAGTGAGGCTGAGGGAGTGGGGGTGGGGGACTGGGAGTAGGGGAGTGAGAGTGAGGGAGTGGGAGGGGGTAGGGGAGACAGGGGCAAGCCAGGCCCCAGTCACCTTCCAAGGCCTCAGTGGAGACCTTTCCCACCCTGTAAGGCACAGAAACTTGTCTTCCCCCAGTGGATTTCCCCGAGCCTGCAGCTGCACTGTATGTGCTTCTGGGTGGGTGATATTTACTGGGGGAGGCATTTGTTTCAGACTTCGGCTGACTGTCTAGTCCATGCTCACTTGGCACTTGTGATTCTCCTGCCTTGGCCTCCAGAGCTTTGGGCTTTATAGGTGTGCCCCATTAAACTAGGCTGTAGGGAGGTGGTTTTAAAATCTTATTTATTTTTATGTTTTCAAATGTGCATATGGCTGTGTATTCCATGAATCTGGGAGTAGCAGCCAGGCTTTCAACGGAGGCCAGCAATCTAGAGACAAATGTGAAGTCGACGCTGAAAGCCAGTCTGTGGCAGTGTCTGAGAAGGTGTTTGACTAATGCTAAGAGTAACAGCACACGGTTGCTCCACATATGAAGTCCTCCACCGTTAGTATCGCACTGAGCCTCACAGTGGCTCAGATAGGTCAGGTCCGAGGACAGGGTCTGATGGTCACAAAGCTTGGGTCCTCAGTGGGAGCAATAAGGAGTTCTGAAAATGAAATTGGTCAAAAGACTTGGGGAGGAGCCGAGGCTGGGAGGTCTGAGTGCCAGGGCTCTCTGGGGAGGGCTGGCTGGGTGCAGCTCGCTCCTCCCTGCAGGGATTGTGAAGGCCTACTATGTGCGCGCACGCGCCCACGCGGAGGTGTGGAACGCTGAGGAGGCCAAGGCGGACCTGGAGAAAGTGCTGGAGTTGGAGCCATCCATGCGCAAGGCTGTGCTCAGGGAACTGCGGCTGTTGGAGAGCCGCCTGGCAGACAAGCAGGAGGAGGAACGGCAGCGTTGCCGGAACATGCTGGGATAGGCTGGGCTGGGCCGGGCTAGGTTAGACTAGGCTAGACTGCCTTAGGTTGGGTAGGAGCTGCAGGATGAAGCACTGGGCTGAGGGCTGGGGCTATGGACTGGGGCACTGTGCCCACACTACTCTACTTGCTGCATGGCGCCCCAGGGGCAGTGTCCTTGGCTATTAGGAGGCTGCCAGTAACTCCTCTTCACTCCAACAACTTGTGGCCCACCAGTGTAGCAGGCATAGTCTGGGCATTCCTGGTTCAATCAATCAGGGCTTAGATGTCACGTTTTAGCACATATTTATGTTAAATTATATTAAGACTAAATTCTGAGGGTTTGGGATATAGCTCAGTGGTAGAGAGCTTGTTTAGCAAACCTGGAGTCCTGGGATTGATCTCCAGTATAAATAAATAGTTATACACATACATAAATGCATTTTGTGGGATCAAAGTCATAGCTGTCCATGGGAAATCAAAAGCACCCTCCGAAGGCCCCCAAATTAACAAAGGGCACAGGAAAGCTACCATTCTTCAGCTCAGGCGTAATAATCAAACTTATTTTAACCTGTGTGTTTATATGCTGCTTGTATACAGGTTTCCAAGGAGGCCAGATGAGGGCTTGCAGTCCTATAAAGCTAGAGTTACAGGCGTCTGTGAGCTGCCCTTTGGATGCTGGGAACCAAAGTCAGGTCCTCTGGAAGAGCAGCAACTGCTCTTAACTGTTCTCCAGTCACAAATTAAAAATATTTTTAATTAGCATTCACAGTATTAGTTTTCATTGTATTGTTTTCAAGTAAAATTAGTTTTTAAAAATTCTCCCCCCACCCTTTTCATCATGCCCCTCTGCTTCCATTTTAGTCTGTATCATGCTCCAGTACTGATTTCAACTGGGGCTCCCGCACCCTTTCTCCTGGGCTTAGGTAGTTGTATTTTGGGATTTCTGATTCTCTTGGTTTTTTTGGCATTTTATAGTGGTGAGACATAAAACCTCTCAGAATGTCATTGACCTCGGTGCCTCTCGGGACTCCCAGGAGAGGGTGACAGTGATGGAAGCCACTGTGTGGGGTCTCCTCCCTTTTCCACCGTGCTTACAGCTAGCATCCACCTTGAGCTCTGAAAACAGATGAGATCTTTGCCTGGTGCTCAGGTTCACTCCAAAATCTGAAAAAAAAAAAATCAATAAACAACATTTGCATGATCGTGGCTGTGCCAGTGTGTTCCCTGCTGGGCTTTGATTGCAATTCTCCCAATTCGTCGATATGCAGGCCACCAGAAGGAGGGTGCTCCTGGCAACTAGAGGTTAGCGCTCCTAGCCTAGGAGGTAGGGTGGCTCACTGAGTCTCCTAGGCCACCTGTGTCCATGGTGAGCAGGAGTCGGGAGAGGACAGAGGAAGGGACGTCGTGACCTGCAGAAGCACAGGGAGGACAGAAGGACCTTCATCACCTCCCCCAGCAGCACTGCCCCAGGAGGAGCCTGGATGGTACACAGCACTGAAGCACCTCTGAAGTACTTGAGGAGCCTAGCAAGAAACATTGAAAGGCCAGAAATGATGGCTCTAGACTTCCCCTTTCCTCTCCTCCTCCTCTCCTCCACCCCACCCCCATTCTCTCCTCTCTTTTCTTCCCCCTTTCTTCTATCATCTCTCTTTCCACTATCCTCTTTCTTCTCACTGTGAGGCCTAGGATGGCCTGGAGCTTTGCAGTCCTCCTGTGTCTACTTTCCAAGTGCTGGAACAGCAGGCATGGGATTGTCTGGAATGCTTTTTCATGTGCTGTTCCCTCCACTGCATTCCTTCTGCAGACAGAGAAGATCTCACCTTACTTGTCAATATATAGCTCATAGCTTCCCAGCTTCCCAACATGGCCAATGCCCCAAAACATCTCAGGGCCCTGCTTGGTCTTGTCTGGCTCTCTTAAGTGGAGATCCTCGCTTCTGATGCCCCAGGATATTTATAAGCCCAAGAACAAAGAAGGCTGGGGCGCAGAACACCTGCAGACTACAGTGTGGGTACGCTGGAGAGAGCCCTCCTGTCACTGGCACCAAAGATGAGGAGGGGACAATGAAAGTCCTTTTTTCTTTTTTCTGACTAGCAGAAAGTGTGCTTCGGAAGTGGCAGAGATGAGGTCAGTTATCCATCCATGGCCCTGGTGCTTGCCTGGGATTCCTTATGTGCTCTGAAAATAGTCTCCTATGAGGTCCTGGCTGGAAGAATTTGAGGTGTGTATGTGTGTCTCACAGGTAGAAGGTTCCTTTCTTAAAATCTAACCAGACGGTGCCGTTTTCAAGAGGCCAGCAGGGGGCAGCAGATAACAAGCAGCTTGAGGTGCCTGGGGGTTTGATGACATTCTCCATCTCCTTTGACCACTCCTGATGCCTGCTGAGTGGTCACAGCCAAGAAGACACTTAGACCCATAGAATGAGATCACTGAAAGACTAGGGGCCCAGGGACAGCCTAGTTCCCATTGGCTTTGTAAACATTGGGAAACCGAGGCTTGGAGAATCAAACCTGGTAGACCCCAGATGAGCACTCAGGTTTTGCACTACTGACTAGAACTTTTTGTGCTACTTTGGGCTGCTTGGCAGCTGGTCCATGCTGGGAATGGTGCATTAAAAAGGGAGAAAGAAGGGGAGAAAACTGTAAAACTCACACAATGAAACATTGTGGATGGGAACCATGCAGTCTGCATGGGAACAGTTAGAAAGGCCAAGACAGGGTCCTGTGTAGATTCCTCAGCCATCTTCTCTCCTCTTAGAGAGTCAACACAGCCTAGTTAGGGTATTTGAGCCAGGTGTGAGCCACTGTTTGAACTGTGTCCTAAAGACCCAGTGACTCTTTGGTCATATGGGGTTCTCCCATCCTTCTCAGGTATGCTAGGACCTGTAGCTGCTGTAAGCAAGGTACCACAAACAGTGGCTGAAAATGGCACAGCTCTTCTAGTTCTGAGGACAGAGGTCCTGGAATGGGCCAGCCTGCAGTCCTCTGTAGATTCTCTTGGGAGAATCTGTCTTGCTCTCTCCAGCTTCTAGAGAGCTCTGTATTCATTGGTTCCTGGCTCCCTCCTCCCCATCCAAACCAACAGGGGAACATCTTCCAGTCTCTCTGTGTCCCTGGCCTGTCACCATCTCTGTGTCTCTGACCTTTCCGTCTTTCCCTTATGGGACCCTTGGTATGATGCTGGGCCTACCTGGATAGCTCAGCACACTGTCTCCACCTTGGCACTCTTGCGTTGACCACACTTTCAGTCTGTGGTACCGTGTAAACTATATGCAAGCTCTGGGAATGGGGACATGCACATGACTCGGGGAGGGCATCACCCATCTCAGCACTGTCAGCTAGTCTCCACTGTCCTCATCCACCATACTATGTTCCCTGAAGCCTGTACACACACACCATGGCTCCTTCACCTCTATTCTCCGCTTGGTTTGACTAACAAGTGGTTCCAGGAACTCCTCAAGTGGAATGGAGATTTGTGGGCACTTGTTTCTCCAAGATCCTCCTTCCTGGATATAGCTGGGCAGCTGCTGTAATCTTTGACCCCTGGTCCCAGTGGCTTCCTGGCCCTAGCTTTTGAAGACCCTAGAGTGTACATGGGCCCTTCAAACCTGCATGTGGCCATGGATCCCACTCTCCAGTCTCCTGATGTTTACCATCCCATGTTTCTTCTACTTTCCTTCATCTCCTCCATTGTACACTCACAGATCTTTTGAATGGATCCACTTCACTTCTGTCAGGTATCCTTCAGGCTGGAGGGCAGTGGCAGGGCTGAGAGTGAGCCAGCAACATGCTCAGGCGGCATAGTCAGGCAGAGCAGAGTCAGGATTGGACTTCAGCCAGTCCAGAAGTCACAAAGGGGACCAGAGGTGTCATTCTCCTTTCTTATTTCATCCTCACCTCTTACTGGAACTTCTCTCTGTAGACATCATCTTATGGCTTCAAGTGAAGGACTGTTTTCTGGGAACACAGTCTTAGGGTCCATATCACTGCAGGTGGGACTCTGCAGGAGTGACAAGCTCATGTCTAGTGTTTGCTTGTCACAAGGCCAAGGCACCTGTGAGAAACAGCAGGGCAGCCTTGGTCATGTTGAATTGACAAAACCGTTCAATAGCTCTGTGTTTTACAGGGGGATTGCTTAGCCGCAGAGGAGTGTAACAACCACAAACCCCTGACTGTCTTCTCCCCACCTCAAGATGGGCCTCACAGCTCCACTTGTCACAGGGGCCACCATTCTGGGAGGCAGGTAGCCCACCTACGTTGGTCACACAGCTATAAGGGGCAGAGGCCAGAAGTGATGTACAGGGGTTAGGGCCAAGCCTTGCTGACCTTTCACCTGTGTGAAAGGTCATTAGGTGGGTGTGGTATGAACAGAACTTGGTTCTCTCTCTCTCTCTCTCTCTCTCTCTCTCTCTCTCTCTCTCTCTCTTTCCATAGGTTATATGGCCAAGGTCATCCTTGAACTCTGGATCCTTCTGCCTCTACCTCAAATGTGTTCGAATTACTGGCATGTACCACCATGCCTGACTGACATTTCTTTTAATTTCCTGTAGGCCATTGTTCTTGGCAGTAGTTTAGGGTGGGAGGAGCCTGAGACACAGGGGCTACTGTGTCTTACCTATAGTAACTATTGTCACATGATTTTCTGGGATGCTAAAAAGAAATGTTTGTTCACCCCAAGTAGAGACAATATGGGAAGGCTGAAAAGATGCTGCTCAAGTTCTGCTTGATAGACCAATGAACATGCTTATGTTTCTTACAGAGCATGGGGCACTCCAAGGCAGCTACTCTATGGGGAAGTCCTCTGGGCAACTCATGGGCAGCTACACACTGAAGAGTCCCACCCCACTCAACTGTTTACCTCAGGGAAGAGAGGCCCTTGATCCTTCCAGTGCAAAGCCAGGGAATCCTGGCATCATCATGGCATCATGACAGTCTTCAGGAGGCTGGTGTATAGTATTACTTTCTCTGACAGCTGGCATCTGGACTCTCCCTCTCTGGAGGCGCCATGTTGAACGTCATAGTCTGTGAGGGTAGTACCATACTGCTTGTTGGGGAAGCCATTTGGAGCTCTGCCTTTCCCCTCCCACTTCTTCCCTGAAGGAAGCACCCATGTGTACTTCCCATGTCCCAAGTCTGCTCAGCAACTGGCCTAATTTCGACCACTCTATCCTTTCTGCTGTTCTCATTAGTGAGAGACTATGATGAGCAAGGAATCTCACCTTCTCTCTCACCACCAATAAAAATATCTGCAGATGAGCTTGCGTGCTTGTGCTTCTTCAGCATTGTCAAGGCTGGTGGCCCCACCTTCAGCAGTACCACAGGGCAGAGGTGGGGTGCAAGCGTGAGTCACTCATGTCTCTTCTCCCTCTCCCCGCGAGAACCATGGACAACCCCTTGAAAAACTCATCTCCATGCTGCCTGGTGCAAAGACCCTTAGAAACTTACCAGTCTAACATGCTGCAGAGGGGGAAACGGAGGCTTAGCAACAAGAGTCCAAGATGGAAGTAGAAAGTCTGGCAGGACAGGGCTGGACCATTTGCTGGCCTCTGGTCTGGTATGGTCATCTCTGTAAACTCATTCATGATTTTTAGGTTTTTTTTAAACTTCTTTTTTTAGATGACAGCAGTTTTATTTAGGTTTTAGATGCTGTTATTGTCTTGTTCTTGCAGCCCTGGAGATGGAACCCAGACCTTGACCATATTGGGCAAGTGGTTGACCATTTGTAGCCGTAGCCTCGCCGTTTTCTTTCTGTTGTAGCCTCCACTCTGCTGGCATTAGAGAGCTTTCTCCCGTGGCTATTATTGTTATTTCTGTGTGCCTGTGCGTGTGTGGGCATGCATGTGTGGAGGCTAGAGGACAACCTGAGGGATCAGCTCTCTCCTTCTACCACGCAGGACCTGGGGATCCACATCTTGATGGCTGCGTGGGGGTATGTGCACATGCGTGCAGGCACGCCTGGTGGCCAGAAGTGTCAAACCCTCTTGGAGGTGGAGTTACAGGCAGTTGTGAGCAGCTTGACATGGTTGCTGGGAATCAAACTCAGTTCCTTAGCGCATATATATATATATATATATATATATATATGCTCTTGATTGCTGAGCCATCTCTTAAGCTCCCCCCTTGAAACTTTATTTTGTCTTAATTTCTTCTTCTCTTAAAACCATCACTCCTGTTCTTCCCATCCTCCTCCTTCTCTCTCTTCATTCCTTCATTTCTTTCTTTCTCTTTCTAAGATTTATTTTTATTTTATGTTTAAAGATATTTGTTTGTGTGTATGTCTCTGTACTTACTGTGCCTTGTACTCATAGAGGCCAGAAGAAGGCATTGGATCTTCTGGAACTGGAATTACAGATGGTTGTTAGCTGCCGTGTGTGAACTGAACACTGGACCCAGATTCTCTACAAGAGCAGCCAATGATCTTAACTTCAGCCGCTCCCTCTCATTTCTTATGAGCCTCTGGCTTGTAACCTCCCAGAGCATGTTTCTGTTAGTCAGCTCCCCAGCTCCCAGACTCTCTTAGGAAGGGAAAGGGATACTCAGCTTCTACCAGGCTAGGTTCATGACCTCAGGCCTGCTAGATCCTGGTATAGCTAAGGAGGCATACAGACTCTGACCAGTCCTAGGTAGGGAAGGCAGAGGTTTATTTTTGTTTTTCAAGACAGGATTTCTCTGTGTAGCTCTCTGTGTAGCCCTGGAACTCACTCTGTACACCAGGCTGGCCTGTTAACTCAGAGATCTGCCGGCCTGCAGTACCACTGAGAAGGAGGTTTGGGTAATTCAGATTAAAAAAACTTGGTGGTGGAAGAACCTGCTAGCACCCCCTTTTGGCACATGGCTGTAAATACAGTACAACTGTGCAGTACTTACCAGTTCCCAGTAGATGGCAGGAAAGAGATGGAAGACGACGCCTCTGTCTCATTTTCATAGTTCTCTCACACTGACCAGGTCAGAAGCTGTGAGTCAGCCCAGTTGACCCATGGATTTTAGTTTTGAAAGGCAGGGTTTGGGGATATCCAGTTCTGACTCTAGACAGTATGGGGGGGGAGGGGAAGGAGAATCCAAACTGGATGTGACAGCCAGATGATGCTGGGACCTTTTGTCGTTCTTTCCAACTGAACATCATTCATTAAAGCAGCTTATGAAAGAAAGTGGCTGGTTAATATAGAAGGAAGGGTACTGTGCTCTGGGCTGGCCACCCCAAAGGTTTGGAGGGGTTCTCTTTTAATTTTTTTTTTTTTGAGGAGATTTTCATTCTTGTGTTCTAGACAAATGAATCTGTCATCTGGGCTTCTGTATTATAGGCAAAGATGAGTCTCATCTTTCAGCTGGAACAAGATTTCCTGCTCCTCTTAGTAGTTTACTTACATTTTACTTTTTTACAAACCTTGATACTGATTTTTGTAGAATGAGCGCAGGTTTAAGCTCCCACTAATGGTGAATAACTCTCCCCTTTTCCACATCCTTTCTGACATTTGTTGTCATTGTTTCCTTGATGACAGTCCTGGGGCAAGAAGTATTCTCAAGGCAGTTTTAATTGTTATTTTCCTAGTGGCTGAGGATGCCGAACACATTTTCAATAGTTATGGGCCATTCGAGTTTCCTTTTTTGAGAAGATGCGTTCTTTTCAGCGCATGATTTCTTTTCCTGGGATGATTGTGTTTCTGGAACTTTACTTTCTGCTGAGCGTCTCCTCCCTTCTCCCAGCCATGTTCCTCAAGTCGCCTGCAGAGGGCACTGTTGCACAATGGCATTTTGGACCTCTATGAAGCCTGGACTGTCACTGCTCAACTGATTAAATCTTTCAGCAATTTTTTTTTTTTTTTTTTCTGAGACAGGGTTTCTCTATTTAACAGCCTTGGCTGCCTGGACTCACTTTGTAGACCTGGGTGGCCCTGAACTCACAGAGATTCATCTGCTGCTGCCTCCCAGAGTGCTGGGATTACAGGCATGGGCTACCACACTCGGCATTTTCAGCAATTTTTACAGTGTGCCTCCTACTTCATGGTTAGAGAATTTGAAGGTAAGGTGTCCAGGGCCAGTGTTTACAGCAGGTGGACTTACTGGCTTCAGACTTGAGCTGTCATTCCTGATGGCCTGCATCTCACAACCTGACCTGTAGCCTTCCCCTCTGAAACATTTCCCCTCTGCATGGCGGCGCACCGGTGATCTTCAAAACTATGATAACTGTTCCTCTTTGGATCCCTTGGCTGTCCCCTTGCCTCTGACAAGGAGTCACTGTTGCCAGTCTGCGGCGATAATGCCACTCCCTGGTGATAATGACCAGCCAGAGGTCCCCTCAGATACCATCTGAGAGACACCTGTCCTTATGTCTCTACATCTGAGCCTTGAATATGGAGGCTGAGAGCAAGGGATAGTCAGGACTGGGTTCCGAACCAGTTCTGAACATTTACTAGCTGCATGACTGTTACACACACACACACACACACACACACACACACACACACACACAGAGAGAGAGAGGCATGCATGAATGCACGCATGCATGAGCACAATTTTAGGTCTAAATTCTGTAGGTGAAAGAACATGGCGTGATGTTTGTCTTTCTAAGTCTCGCTTATTCCAATTACTGATCTCTACTTTCACCCATTGTTGTGAAATCATTTCTCTTTTCTTTACATATGGATAAAATCCTACTGTGCATGTGGCCACATTATCTTTCTCTAGTCATCTGTTTTACTCATCCAAGCTGGAGTGAGCAGGCACCTCTCCAGTGTGTTTTGGTGACATAGTCGGGTCATATGATGGCTCTATTTTTGACTCTTTAAAAACATGCATTTATTTAGGAGGGAGAAGGGATCTGCCACAGCACATGACAGCATGAAGGGGTGGCTTCTCTCCGTCCAAAAGACGGTGGTTCCATCCTGCAAGGCAGTTGGCAAGGCCTGAGCCATAGGCATGTTATTGGGCCTAAGGGCCTAGTCCATCCTTGTGAAAGGGCGTGCTACATTTTGTCCTTTCTTTCACACATATTTTTACTTCCCCTACTCCTACACACTTCCATAATGGTTACACAAGTTTACATTATCGTCAGCTGTGTGATTTTGTACAATTTGCTTAACAGTTACTGCTTCGTTTGCACACCAGAGTCTGTAACTCTCGATAGGCTGACTTGACCATTGGGATACAGTGTCTGCTTGTTAGCACAACACCCTGGAGTCTTTTGAGTTCACCTTGCCACACCTGGCATCCCTAGCCCTCCATCTTCTCAGATGGCCTCTGTATTTCCTACTAGATCTAGCTTTAGGTGACAGTGAACATGGCAGCTTCCCTGCTCTGCCAGCTCCACAATGAGGAATATCCAGCTTGTTGGCCTTGAAAGCTGCTGTTTGTTCTGTCAGTGTGCAACCTTTCACTATTGTCCTTTTCTGTGATAAATATTCCAAGTGGCCAGTGAGCAGTCTTCAGCTCTTTCAGAGCTTCTTTTTAAGACCCCTTTGAGGAATTCAAAGCAAGACAAGTGACACAGACTCCTATCTCGGTATTCACCCTGCTAGTAACTTCACATCTGTCTTAGAAATACTGCTATTTCCTGTTCTGTGAAGTCACAGCTCTGGCTGACCCCTCCCGTCTGCACAGGAGTTCCCAGCTGCTGTCCTGGGAAGATCCTGAAAGATGTTTTTTGGCCTTGTAAGAGTAGGAGGCTTGGGGGGGTGGTGGCAGCAGCAGAGGGTTTTCCTCCTATCCATTAAGCTGCAGCTGTTCCTACAATTGTTCCTTCTATCCCACGCAGCCCTCAATGGAAACCTGTGTCTGGCTACAGGGTAGATGGAATGGGAAGGTGGGGAATTCTTGGTCTATGTTACAACGACGTTTGCTTCCCTTGGTGAGGGTCTCCATTATCAAGGATGAGTAAACAAATTTGGTTATTTCTGGAGGGGTTAAAAGCAAATTGAGAGAAACCCCTGGCAGGCGAGGTAGATGTCCACAAAGTTGCTCCCCTGACCCCTGGCAGCTGCCCTGTGCTTCTGGCTTCCATGACCTTTATTCTAGCTTGTGGATAAGGGTGGAGGCATGCAGACCACTTCTATCCTTGGCTCAGAGAACCCTTATGAAACTCCTTCCTCTCTGCTTACCAAAAAGGTAGCAGTGTCTGGGAGGCCCCTGGGCAGATGGTGGAGCCTGGGTACATAGGAAACCTAGATAGAGAGGTGATTCATGCAACTGTGAGATGTAAGCCAGTGGTGCCCTTGTCCCGTGAGATGGCCTGCCGCCTTTCCAGACCACCCTCAAGTCTTTTTTATTGAGGATATCCCGGTGTTTTTAGTCTGCTTTCTTAGTTAGAGTTCCTATTGTTGTGATGAGATACAACGACTAAAAGCAATGTGAAGAGGGAAGGGTTTATTTAACTCACAGTTCCATTCATCATCAAAAGCAGGAGGGCAGGGACTCACAGGGCAGGGATCTGGAAGCTGATACAGAGGCCAAGGGGGAGTGTTGCTCACTGGCTTGTTCCTCACGGCTTGCTCAGCCTGCTTTCTTATAGACCCCAGGACCACCAGTCCAGAGATAGCGCCCCCGCAAGGGGCTAGGCCCCCCCCCCCCAGCAATCACTAATTTAAAAATGTCTCTAATATCAGTCGGGGGCAGAGCAGACGGCAGTCCTTTCTTCATCCTAGCTTAATGCCTGGCTTGGTGGCCAAAGCTGTTTTATGCCTAGGACCCCTAAAAATCAAATCAAATCAAAGACAGACAGAGACCCGTGTTCAGCCATGATACACAGTGAGGGTGGGGGAAAGTGTCGGCAGGCCTTCCCTCCACTCCACGGCACAGGAGGGCCACAGACACACAGACCCTGCCTACCACTCTGCAGTGCGTCGAGGGAGGAGGAAGACAACCTGCTGACACCATGTCACCACAGACCTGCCCTCTGGTGCCCGGCACAGGTGGGCTGTACACATCGCTGGCCACCACACCACACAGCTCAGACTGAGGATGTCATTCAGGGCCTGGTCAGCCTGCAGAGGGAGCCGCCACAGTGTGCGAGTATGTGGTGGACTGACTGGAGGTAAAGAGAGGTGGAGCAGCTCGAGCATTATGAAGAGAGGCAGACCTGGAGGGGGGGGGAGGAGTAGCCTGTTGTGGGTGGCCAGTCCAGCTACCTGGGGCCATGGTGAAGTCCCAGCCCAAGCTGAGGGCCATGTCTGGGTCTGTGGCTGCCCAGCAGCAGGGCCAGTGTTGATGCTCATATCACCATACAGAGCAGGTGGACGTCCCTGGTTGGGGCAGCCATGAAGATGTTCAGAGGCTATGTAGAGCTGTTGCTACCCTTCACTGGCTTTGGTGCTCCGGAGAACTGACCCCACCTCTCACCAGAGATAGCACTCAGGAGAGGGGCCCTGTGCCATTGGAGGACAAAGCTAAGTCAGCCTGGTTGACATAGCAAAACCAGAACTCATACAAACGCCATTCTGGACCCTGGACAGGACATGGGCGTGAACCGTAGCAGTGTCAGAATGAGAGTTTAGGAGACAGAGTGCAAATGCTGATAATCATGGGGGTGGAGGGAAGGCCACTGGTTTGTGGATATCTGTCCATGGGGAAGGGGAGCTCTTACTTTGTGGGGGCACACTTGCTTGTTGGGGAGGGAAGGGAGGCAGGGGGCTGGGGGAAGGACTAGAGGGTGGGGCTGGGAAGAGCACACCCAGTGAGCTGACCATTAATCGTTTGATAGAGGGCATCTACTGACCATGAAGCAGTCGCTTACCCATGGGCTTCTGGATTACTCTCCTCTCTCTGCTCCCACCTAGCCATATGGGCGGGGAGGTTACAACGAGTGCTCCTACACTGATTCTGTGGGTTCCGGGTTGCCAGGCTTCAGTGGCAAGTGCTTTTACCCACCAAGCCACCTGGTCTACCCTGGGCTGACTTTTTGAGATGCCCCTTTTCTTGGGCGGTGGAGAATCCCTTTGCCGGGCCTGCTGCCCTGGAAGTGCCTCTGGTATCTTCTGCTGGAAACACTTCCCTCTCTTCTCGGAATCTAGCCAAGCCACTTCTTTGGGGGCCCAGACCCCATTATTGAGAAACGGTGAAACTCTCTGTGATGGCCCTATTAGAAGGTGTAGCCTTGCTGGGGTAACTGTGGCCTTGTTGGAGGAAATGTGTTGTTGGAAGTGGGCTTTGAGGTTTCAAATGCTCAAGCCAGGCCCAGTGTCTCTCTCTCTTCCTGTACCTGCTGATCCAAAAGTAGAACTCTCAATTTCTTCTCCAGGCATGTCTGTCTGTGTGCTGCCATGCTTCCAGCCATGATGACCATGAACTAAACCTCTGAACCTGGAAGCCAGCTCCAATTAAATGTTTTCCTTCATAGGAGTTGCCATGGCCATGGTGTCTCTTCACAGTAATACAAACCCTAACTAAGACACTCTATGGTAAGCTTGAATATAGCCCAACCACTTCCCATATCCTAATCCCCAGTAAGTGTGAATAAAAACATTTATAGGAAAAAAGGTATTGGGTTGCTAATGAGCTATTTAAAAATGACAAAATTTCCCCGAGTCTTCTGGCCATGCCCAACATACATTGAGAGTCTTTCAAATGGGTGAGGAAAGAGAGATAGCCACATGGAGGCATGGGAAAGACTTGGCTTTGAAGATGGAGAAAGGGTGTAGACAGGCTTCAAATGAAAGGGTCCAATCACTCCAGCACACACAGTCGCCAGGAACCTAGCTCTGTCTGTACCTTAGGCTCAATTCAGTAAGTCCCGTCTTGTACCTCTGATCTCACACTGTATGATAATAAATGTTTTTGTTTTAAGTCATTGGTTGTGGACAATTGCTCCACCAGCCACAGAAAGCCAACCTGGCTCAGTAGTGTGTATAGTTTCGGTCTTGAGGAGAGTAACCAGCATAGATCTCAGATGGGGAAGTTTGTTGCTGAGCTTCCAGAATGTTGGTTCAACATTTAGCTGGCATTTAACAGTCAGTAGCATCCTGAGCCAAGTCAAGGCGAAGGTTTGGCCTAAGTTTCATCCCACACTGAATTTTTTCCTAGATTCTCTTTCTTCATGGACCACAGAATCAGGACATTTTCATTTACTTGCTACTTCTGCCTTTCTTCCTATCCTCCCTGCATCTTTATTGCCTCACTTTTCCCTTCCTCTCTCCTTTCCCTTCCCTTCCCTTCCCTTCCCTTCCCTTCCCTTCCCTTCCCTTCCCTTCCCTT